ACAGTGACAAATGGACCATATTATTGATCTTTGCTATTGCTAAAGTTTAAACATAAATATTTTTACTCTTTTAAAATTTTAATTGTATGTTATTTTTGTATTATGGACTGCAAAGCTTGTTTGGCAAAAAGTCACGAAACAGTGTTTTTTGTAAAAGTTTAGCCCATCAGCAGCAACTGAAGGCACTAAAACATTTTTTTAAAATTGTAAACATTTCTGAGTCATTATGTAATGTTTAAACTCCATTAAAAAACTAATATATGCATAGAATTTGTTATTTTGTTTTGTAAAAAATGGCAAAGCGTATTTTTTTAAAGTAAAAATAAAAATAACCCCGAGGTGTTAACTGAAGACGTAAAAATATTTTTAAAAAATTAGGCACAATTACTGTTTATATCAATATGCAACTTCTTAACTCTATTACGATTTGAAATTCAAAACAAAAAGTTTTCCGATACATCCTACCGTTAATACTGTAAAAAACGTTTTATCAGATCAAATTATAAAAAAAATGTTTAATAAAATTTTTAGATGTATTTCTCACTGAAATTTTAATTTATAAAGAAAGACTTAAAAAAAATTATCAAAAGTGTTTTGTGTTGACCACAGGCATTATTATAATTTTCATTAAAAAAAAAAGGCCACTGGGTTTGATGAAATATCTAGTGATTTAGTTATTTCAAACAAAAACAACCTAAGCAAACTTCTGACCCATATCCTAAAGCTCTCAATATCAACTGGAATTTTAAATACTTAAATTAGCAAAAGTAGTTTCTATATACGAAAAAAATGATCATTTAGAGTTACTAATTATAGACCTATATCAGTACTTTCTGTATTTCCAAAACTTTCCGAACGTGTAATTTATAATAGAATCTATGATCATTTTACTAAAAACAATTTATTTTACCAAAATCAGTTTGGATTTCGAAAAATTCTTTTAACTAACAAAACTAGAAATAGTAAATCAAATAGTAAATGGTTTTAAACAAAACAAACTTATCTTAGGAGTATTTATTGGTTTATCAAAAGCATTTAATACAGTGGATCAATGCATCCTTTCAAATAAACTAAAGCATTATGGGATAATTAATAAAACTTATTATTGAATTAAAGGTTATATTACGAATAGAAAGCGATATGTGAAAAACACAATGCAAACCTCTCTTACGTCAGCTTCGAGCTTTAAATATTTATAAGCTTAATATTCATAAAGTAATGATATTTATGTTTAAAGCAAAACTTGGGTTTTCACCAGTAACATTTCAATCCTACTTTAATGAAATCTCCCGTAAATATCCAACCAAATTTTCAGTGAATAACTTTGTGGTTTCCATAAACCTTCTTAAATTAAGTTCGTACCAAATTCAATATCAGGGACCTTTAGTTTGGAAAAAATTTCTTCCAATATTTAATAAAAAACAAAACTTCGTTTTAAACTGCACTTTGCTCGATTAAAAATAAATTAAATCTTTAACACTTTCTTTAGCTTTTATTAAAATGGTTTTAAACCATTAGTATAAAAGATAACTAAAATAAATTATTATCTTTTTGGCCGGAGCAAGAAGAAGACAACCTGTCTTCTTCTTGCTCCGGCCAGGAATTTCTTTTATTGTAATTTCTTTTTTGTAATATTTATCAACGGCAAAATAAATAAATGATAAAAAAAAATTTAAAAAAATAAAAAAATAACCCGCAATCTGGAGTATTAAATGTTTTTTATGGAGTCCCTCAAGGATCAATTCTTGTTCCACTTCTGTTTCTAATTTATGTAAATGATTTTGTAATGTATCAGTAAACATGACATGTTTTTTGTAAAACATGTCATGTTTTGTAAAACATGTCATGTTTACTGATGATACAAATTTGTTTATTACTAACAATGATGTCAAAAAATTATATGCATATATGAATATTGAACTAAATAAAGTAAATAGTTGGTTTAGGGCTAACCAATTTTCACTTAATGTTGAGAAAGCTAACTATATAATATTTCATAAAAAATAAGGAAGAAAACCTTCCTCTTGAGTTGCCAGATTTTATCATAAATAATAAATTAGATAAAAGGCAAGCCAGTATAAAATTCTTAGGAATTTTGATTGATGAAAATTTATTGTCGCTTCCTTAAATAAAACATATCCAGTCTAAGAATAACATAGTCTCAAAGTAATATATTTTGGGCTAATTCATTTCTTCATCAGCTATGCAAATATTTTATGGGCAAGTACACAACCATCAAAATTTAAAAAAATTTATAGCTTACAAAAACATGCTAGCAGGATTATTTACTCTAAAGCACGCTAAAATCTTAATGAAAGATATGAAAATGATGGATGTATTTGAAATAAATACCTATCAGCATTAAATCTTTATGTATCGATTTAATTACAATCTCTCTCCAGCAAACTTTAAAAATAAGTTTAAAACAAATGTAAATGAAAACTATAACTTAAGGGCAAATTTAAGTAACACATATAAACTGCCTTGGAAATCTGACATATAGAATATAGCATAACATATAGAGGACCAAAAAAACCTATCAAAAAGGATTCAAGTGTATGGTTAAGTAGTTAAGATCATTTAAGTATCTAACAAAAACAGAAACTTTTAAAACTTGAAATTTTATATTTTTTATAATACTTTTATATTTGTGCATATACTTACTCGGAAGTCTCTTGATCATTTTTTCAGTCTTTTTTTTTTTTTAGTTTTTGATTTATTTATTTTTTTTAGTTTTTTTTTTGTTTTTTTGTTTTTGTTTTGTTGTTTTGTTTTTTTTGTTGGTTTTTTTGTCTTTGTTTGTTTAAGTAAAACAAACAAAGATAAAAAAGATTGCGACGACGTATCGTCATCCATATCTTTTCTGAGCCCTTGTCTGCTTAATTCTTTATCTTATAAAGATCGTTCAACAATCCATTCCATTTTATATTTTATATACAAAACGGTGCCTGTTGACAAGATATACAAATTTACTATGGATATATAATTTTTTTTTTATATAAAAGTTGATTGTATTTATTAAACAACGAAATAAATGTAATTAATAAATAAAAATAAAAATAAAAAAATTAAAAAACTATAAATTGTTTAAGACGGGAATTAAGTTAAGAGATAATCACAAAGCATTGATGTTTAAAAATAAAAAAAATGAAACTCAGTTATTTAAGAATAAAATTGTTTAGTTACAATAAAGGAATGCAGCTCAGCTGAAATAAGAGTTACTATATTAGGTTTTCGATTGACAGAGCAATGGATGATAGATTGCTTCAGCAGCAAACATTTGTAGAAAAGATAAAAAAATAAAACCTTAAAACATTATTTGCTGATGAAACAACTTAAAGGTAACATTGTCAGACTTTAATGTATAGATAAGAAACAGAGTGTAGCTTTTGATAGAATTGTTTTCAGGTTTTGATGTCCACAGTAAATGGATTTCTTAATACTTTAACAGTTGCTCTGAACTATGCTCTTTAGTTTTTTCCAAATAAACATATGAATTTTAAAGTTTTTACTTAAACTAAAGAAATATAATAGGGCGGGTAAAAATAAGCAATTACTTTTACTCAGTAGTTGGTCAGCTTTACTTGAATAAAAACTTCAGCAGTTTTGCTCAAATTTTTATTTACGTAAAATTAAGCAATTTACTCAGTAATTACTCAGCTTTACGTGAATAAAAATTTAACTAAAATTCCTGAAGTTATTATTCACGTATAACTGACCAATTACTAAGTAAAAACAATTGCTCATTTTTATTAACCCGGCTTAGGGAAGCTAGAGGAAAACGATGCCGAAAATGATTTCAAATCCGACATACTCTTTTTTGTATAATTATTCCAGCGGTAGGTCAAAATGGCACTTTGGCAAAAAAATAAAAAAAAGCTGTAATTGAAGAAGATTAATCTCTTAAAAGTTTATTAGTTTTTAACAACTATTCGATCAATTAAAAAGTTAATTAGAACAAAAATCGCGATTAAGGTGAAGTAATGGTTTCTTGCACACCTCAATTATACGTATAAATATCAAAGTTTTAGACAATCTTTACTGCCTGTTTAAACCTTATTTTTTCTAGGTTTGTTACATTCTTTAAGAATGTTTTTTCGGCGAGGCACCCATTAAATCCCTCCAGGCTTTTATTTTGAGTTGAAGTCTTTTTGCTGGATTTAAAAAAAAGTTCCTATATTCTAAATATAGAGATATAAATACCTTTTTGTAAATCCGGCAACAATACCACCAACTCTTATCTAGACATTAATTAATTCAATTCTGATGTAGAAATTTAATATTAGTCGTTCAAGAGCCACAAAGTATCCGACGCGTTTAATAAATGCACCTGATGCAACCAAAAGCAAAATTAAATGTGCTGGAACACTAATTATAGAAGTAACAAAATTAATAGAAGATTAATGCGCGGTGTTTTCAAAAAATAAACAAAAAATAACTCACTTCTATCAGCAAATAGTTAAATACTAATAAAAAGTAAATTACTATAAACAGGAATATTGACTTCAAAGAGTATCGTCATCAGACGACAACGATAGACGTCATCAGACAACAACCACAAAAAAACTAACTCTTTAAAATAGACATCAAAAAACGTAGCAAAGAATTTAGGCACAAAATTAAAACGCAATTTTTGCATTTCTTGCATCAAGTAGCAAGAAATCTTGATTTTATGTTTTCAAACTTTTCAGCTACCATGTTATTTAGCTGATTAATTACTTAGGTTAGCTGATTAATTACTTAGATTAGGTACTTAATTCTTAAATAATGGGCAAGAAATAGTGGTAATTATTTTTTAATAAAAACATGGTTCAATATTATTAACGTTTATATTATGGTCTAAACAGTTTTTAGAGCTAATAACTGTGTTTATTTCTGACATAACATTTGTTTAATTTTTATCAATACAAAAACCGAAATGAATTACGCTTTCTTTTTTTAGAGAGAGAACGGTCCATTGAGAAAAAAAGTAGATTTAATAAACAATAAGTTAATGTAAAATATTTCATTGTTTCATAAAAAAATTTAGAACCCTTATGTTGTTTATATTAATTGATATGCTTATGTTAATTTATTAGAGTTAATATAATTTTTATTAAACTTTTAAAATTTTCTATTTTAGTTTTTTAGTTTTATAAAATTTTTGACTCTCTAGAACTGCATTTTGTTGACGTTTACCATTGTCAATTAACGATCTTTTTAATAAAAAACTAATGCATTCTTCGTTTGCTGGATGTGAAACCATTATCCCTTTTTTGTATTCACACCAATCATTCCACATAAAAAACCCTTCAATTGATTTTGCAACGATGCCTAAAGAAAAGGTACATTATGTATACCATAGTATATATGTATATATATATATATATATATATATATATATATATATATATATATATATATATATATATATATATATATATATATATATATATATATATATATATATATATATATATATATATATATATATATATATATATATGTGGTATAGCATAAAACAAACTTTTATATGTTCATGCTTATGTTAACTAAGGATGCCTTGTAAAAATCTGTAGTTATTTGAGCCAAAAATAAATGTTGAGAAGGGGACACACTGTTGATAAAGGTTGAAACTGAGTCATTTTAGCTGTAGTTTGTAGTTTTTTTTATTAAAAACATTTTTTTACCTGAAATTTCTTTTTAAAATAAGTATTGCTACATTTGATTTGTGTTTTCATACAAAAAATATTTCGACAAAATAATATTCTAACATTTATTATAAATAATTGAATAAGCTCCAAACCTGCTTTAAAAGCAACCTCTCCAATATGTGCATCGTCTATCCGTAAAGTGTTTGTTATGTCGATGTTTGCTAATATTTTGTAGACGCTATGGTTAGTTAAAATAAATCCCCCTCCAGAGCAATAAGGGTCATAATGATTTTTTTTATGTTCTTCTATAGTAACTTTGTATCGACCATTTCTTTCTACCGGCTGTTTTTCCATTTTTTGTCCAAAATATCCTTCTAAAATATGATTTTTCTTAACAAACTTTATAATGTTATCAATGTTCATAAAAGTATCATCGTCTCCTTTTAGAATGTTTTCAAATTTTATATACTTTTTAGCCCAAGTTAACCCGATGATGACTTTTTTGGCAAGATCATAAAAGTTTTCTCTAATATTTTCGACAATAATATCTTCGTTTTGTATTGCTTCTAGCTTTGCATTTTCCATTAGCTGAATGTTTTCTTCGTATCCTAATAAAAAAACTACTTTCCAATTGGTTTCTACCCAAGATAAAGGGTTACCCCACGTACTCCGTATAATATTTCTACGGTTTGCATGTCTAGTGTGTGAAGATATAAGAAACAAGATGGTGTAGGGAATATTTTGCTTTTTCACTCCATCAAATGTTATATGACTTAAAACATCTCTATCTTTTTTTTCAATAGACTCTAAGCTTTCAACTTTAGATGCTATATAGCTGTTTGTTACAAGTGTATTAACACTTTGCGACTCGGATGCCGTCAGAAAGTTTTCGCTGAAATTTCTTGGAAATATTTTGCTTACTATTATTTCTTTTAGATCGTTTAATGAATTTGTGTTTTCAATTAAAAGTTTTTCTATCCTCGGTGTTACAATGTAAAACTGATAAAAATTGTTTGTAAATGAGCGATAAATAATATAACAAAACATTAAGAAAATACAAGAAAAAAAGATTTTGAACTTTACTCGAAGCGCCATTTCTCTATTTTCTGTTTGTAGTGGACAGTTAAATTTTGTTCTTAACATTTGAAACATAATTACAACATGAATAAAACATTTATTATTTAGTTATTTAATCAAATGTTATTCATACCAAACAATTTTAACTTTATATTAAATTATTTATCACAAATCTTGTTTAAAGTAATGTTACTGCGCGACGATATAATATATCGACGATATGATATATTGTGATATAAAATGTATATATAATATATAAAAGTTTTAAAAATCTCCTCAAAAAACCTTAAAAAACCTTTAACCTTTAAAAATTAATTGGCAAATTTGGACCTGTAGTCGGCAAATTTGAACCTTCAGTCGGTAAAAAAAAAAATTGTATAATAATAATTATTATAATAATATATAATAATGATAATAATAATCCGGCATTAAGTAAAGTCTCATTGACGGGGCCCATATTAAGGTGCCTATTTTAAGGGCCCGTTTTACTATAAAAGTATACGCATTAAAAAATTAACGCTTGTCCCAAATTGGTTTCATATGGGACTTATAGGAACCCACACGGAACCAAAGTCACAAGCGTCTTTTTTTTCACTGAGCAAGTCACATTTACGAAAAAAAACTAAATTTAATCATCGCACAAATTTTATTACTGCTGTAAAATTTTTTGCTTTTTGTCCTGGTAACCTGGTAACCTGGTAACCTGATAACCTGGTAACCTGGTAACTAACATAAACTTTTGCTTTAAACTGATTTAACTCTTTGCATAGTTTTTTGGAGAAAACTTCAACAATTAATTTTTTCTACTGTTATGAGTATTCTTTTGTACCATTGATAAAATTTTACTCTAATGAAGCACCACAACATCGTGTCGTGAGATTTGCCATGACGTAACATGTGTCTTGAAAAAACTATTATAACGATTATGCGATAATTTAACTTTCGGGTATAACAAGACCTAAAAAAAGTTATTTACATCAAGTGAGATTTCTTCAAATGTAAACTTTATACTATACAAATTTTATCTATATGTCATATAAAAATAAAATATACATTTAATAAGTGTTTGATAGTAAGTATATATTACATTTTTTATTATATTTTACATTAGAGCCAACAGTAAACTTGGTAGACTAAAGAAAATTTTAGAAGTTGTGGACTCTTTTTGTGGAAAGTACTCTGCAAAACCTATATAAGACCCCATCTAGAATTTACTATCCAAGCTTGGTCACCGCTCAAAGAAAAAGACATTGCTATTCTAGACCAAGTACAGCTTAAAACCACAAAAACAATCACGGAAATAAAGCTCTTGCTATATGAAGAAAGTCTCTGTTATCTTGGCTAAACTACAGTTAAAGAAAGAAGTGTTTGAGGTGATCTGATTCAATAGTTTAAACTTTCAAAATGTATTGAACAAATCATTTTTGAGAACCCTCAAGTCTAGGCACCATCAGTTTCCAAATACAATTTGCGTGGACATTAATTATCTTTAAATTGAACGTCATAGGGTAAAAAACTGCAAAGAGAGATTCAAATTCTTCGTTAATTGCATCGCCAATGTATGGAATACGCTACCTTTAGACGCCATAAGTGCTGAATCAGTCAACTCGTTCAAAGATAGTGTGTAGGTTCAAAGATAGTGTTTACTAAAGAAAGTCTTATCTTAATTTTGGTAAGAAAGGAGGCGTAAACTTCCTGTTTAAGTGCGTAACCGGTGCTCTGCAATAAGAAAGTTAGGTCTTTATGGGGCACCTTAACAACTTAAAAAATAACCTTGTGTTTTTAAATCTGGTAATAATTTGAAAAAGTTTAGAACATTTGTTTCAGTTTGACAAATATTAATTAAAAAACTAGCTTAAAACTTTTCCTTTAGCCTGAACTGTGAAAACTTAACGTATTTAAACTTTTTTTGTGAACATAATTAGGAAAATAGGGCAGCCTATTGTGGGTTCAATATCAGAACAAATTACATCTTTTGTATTCTTTGTTTAAAACATTTTAAAGAAATAGCCTTTTAAAATTTTAATTATTGTTTTAAAAAAGTTTGAAATTAAGATCTTTTGCTGCAAAATTTTCGCTACATAACCACAATTTTTTTTGTTTAATTATATAATTAAAATAATTGCCCTTAACCGGTTGCTCGGAATTTTTTTATCTCGAGCTGTTTCATTTGGTCCCTTGAAATCCTCTAATCGATTACTATAAAAGTTCTACTGTTAAGTCGAATGTCGGATAGCTCGAACTTTATTTAGTCGAACTATTATTTCGTACCTTTCAGCATATTTCAAACTTACCGTTTGATATAAAGAAATTAAAATAACCCAGCGGGCATTTGTTTTTAAAAGTTATGTTCTAAATGTATTTTAAATGTCTTTTAAAACGTCTTCTAAACATTCTAAGGTAAAAAACATGTAAAAGACGTTTAAAAACGTTTAAAGGACATTTTAAGAAAGAAAACACAATTTTAAAACAAAAGACAAATTAAAAAAAAAAAAGCAAATTTTAAAAAAGACAACGTAACTTTTCAAAACAAATGCTCGTAGGAAACTTACTTAAACTATTTTTAAAGAAGTCATTCCATATAAAACATAAATAACAGTAACCTAATATTTCATTTTGTTGTTGTTGTATTTAGGTCTTAATAGAATAGAAGTATAGTAAGTCCTCTATATCTTGAAATATTTAAATTAAAAAAATCCTTTAGATAAACAGTGGGGACGTACCCCTTAGCATTATTGGTTACGTTGCCCATGCTTAAGTTGAGCTAATATCTCATTTTAAAGATCAACTCATCAGGAATTTGCTTTAGTTGAACATTGTTAAGTCGAACTAATTTCCTTGGTCTCTTGAAAGTAATCAGGAGTTTACTGTAGTAGTTCAAGTTTAGTTTTAAGACGTCTGAAACCTGATATCTTTGTTTTATACCATACGTATAAAATGTAAGAAATGTAAAACGTCATCAATATATCTTAGATAAAATTGTTTTATATCGTTAACTTCTTGATCAGAAAAGTACAAAGGTAAGATTTTAGGAAAAAGTATTGTTTCTTCTAAAAACTCAATTGTGAGACATGCTTAGTATGGAGCAAAATCAGAACTCAATTCGATGATGACTTTTCGTCTAAAGAAGAACATTTATTTTCATGGCATAATTGTAAGTTTTTAATATAATTAACAACCTTTACAAATTTTAATAAATGTTGTTGATAATCAGTTTTACATTTTTTTATCTTTGATTTATTTAAATTACTTTATAACATATCTGGAAAAATGTAGTCTATTTAATAAACTTCATGTAGAAAGCATTTTAGATCTAGACTGGCTGCATTATTTAAATTCAGTGAGCTAATTCAAGTGTTTTATAACGTTTCTAACAAAAAACATATATATATATATATATATATATATATATATATATATATATATATATATATATATATATATATATATATATATATATATATATATATATATATATATATATATATATATATATATATATATATATATATATATGCCGCAAATACACATAGAACTAAATAACATAAAGTCATACAGTTTTTCATAAAAAAGGTATGGCAGATATTAGAGTGCCCTAAATTAGTACCTATGTTCATACTATTAAATTTCTTTAACAAAAAAGGAGGGTAAAGCAAAATAGATCTCGAAAAAGCAGCCAGAAATCAATATTTCAAAAAGTTAATAGTTCCTTACGTTTCTTATTCTCTCCCAGTGTTTGGCCAGCTGTGCAAAACTCACAGAGGTAGCGTGTTTCTTAATCATGACCTATATATGAATACTTTCCTTTAAACACCTGGTTTAGTATTTCTAGAAAAATCAAGGCTACCAGAATCATTTTTTTAAATAATTTGATTATGCTTTATAAAGCCAATTCAAATAATTAAATGACAGTCAACAAATTTCTTATTTCATTATGACTTTATGACAACTTTTAAACTTTTTAGAAACGCTTATATTTAAAAACAAAAAAAAATTTTATGGTCAAAGATGAATCGTGACCTTGCAAAACGCTTTTTAAATTATACATTTATCGTCACTCATAATATCAGAATGGACTCCAGGTATAGCTTATTGGACAAGCAAAATCACTTAAACTGATAATGTTAAAACATTTTCAACAGAAACAATTTTTAACTTTTGTAAATAACTAAAATAAGCATTTTAAAGCTGCATTGTTTCTATTTTAATATCCAGCAGATTACACTTGAGATTACAGATTAAAAATATATATTTGATAGTAATCAAATTCAAATGAATAATCAAATTTAGAGCACAATATCATTTTTGGATCAGAAAATCAAATTAGTTCAAATAGGTCTTTACTGTTGACTATTTATTTTACCAAAATAATGCATGAGAATTTGTTATTTTTAGACACGGATAACTTTGAAAACCTAAAATTAAAATTTTAAGAAACTTTAAACTTGAAACTTTGCCTCAAGTTTACAGATTTTTTTTTAATGATTTCAACCTTAAATGTGAATTGCAGGAAAATCTACGCGCTAAACTGTTTTAAGTTAACTTATTCTTAAAAGCCAGTTTAACAAATTTGAGTAATATATAAAAATGTATATATATATATATATATATATATATATATATATATATATATATATATATATATATATATATATATATATATATATATATATATATATATATATATATATATATATATATATATTTATATATGATACCTAATTTGCAAAAGCTCATCTGTTCGTTATTTTGCATACAAGCTTCATATCTGGCATCATCATTGGGATAATCGTGATGACATGTACGGAGGTTGTTTGAGATTTAAAGTATAATTCGATTTGTTTAAAATATACGTAAAAAGTAAAAACATAATAAAAAAAAGAAAAAAGTTTATAATAATTTTCCATGGAATATCCATTTCCACAACGTAAAAAGTTCTTTCTTTGAATAAAAGTGATAAGTCACGCTTACTTAGTTAAAACCAATTAACATGAATGTTTGTTTTAATCCGCATCAACAACAATTCCCGTTTTAATCCTTGTGCAAACATTTACAGATAGTTAAAACCTTTGCGAGATTTTACAGTTCAATTAAACTTTATTTTTAATTAAGTTAAAAATAAAGTTTAGTTAAACTGTTATAAACTAGTTATAAACTGCATGAGTAAACATTTTTCTTTCTATTATAGCTGTAATCAGGGATCAGGGCAGCTTATTCAGTTATTGAGGTAACTTTCAGATGTGAAGAAAACTAGGTTTATGCTTATGTTGATATTCAGTTATTGAGGTAACTTTCAGATGTGAAGAAAACTAGGTTTATGCTTATGTTGATATTCAGTTATTGAGGTAACTTTCAGATGTGAAGAAAACTAGGTTTATGTTAAATGAAGATACTTAACAAAATAATTTCAGTGATTGAAATCTGGGAACAAAAAAAGCATAAAAAAATAAAATAAAACATGAGTAAATTAACTTTTCAAACCAATGTTTTTGAAAAGAAAAAATTTCTAAATCAAAGTTTTATTCATTTTGAGCTATCCAATAATTTAAAAACTTTTTAGTTAAAGTTAATGTATGCTAAAAAGTTAATGTATGCTAAAAAGTTAATGTATGCTAAAACATTAAACCCATTTACTTCATATAATGTGTTGCTAGCTTGATTTTATTTTTTTGGAAATGGAATTAATCTTTTAATTAATTTTAAACTAATTTTAATTTTATACTAATCTTTTAAAAATGCGTCATTGCTGAAACCTCAATATTATGAAACAACTAATTTATTAAAAAGATCTTAAACATAGGTTTAACAATGCGTGCAAAAAATCGTAAACTCAATATTATTCACAATAAACAACTTAAAAAGAATAATAATATTGTAAATATCTTTTTAAAATAATAAAAAATTCTACAAATAACTGTATTGTAAGAGGCTTCTTTAGGCAAAAGGGATAAACAGATTCTATCTGTTTTTTCAAAGCGTTTACAAACAAAAATGAACACAGATGTTTTTGACAGAGACAAAATTGCTGATATGTTTAATGAATTCTTTATAAACGTTGGTAAAAATTTAGCCGAAAAAATAATTCATTTAAGTCTTTTTTAACAAAAACACTCTCAGTTATGAATGAGTTTGAAATATCCTCGGATATCCTCGAACAGCCTTAAGTTTACTAAAAACCAACAAGAGTTCAGGAATCGACGAAATCAATGCAATTGCTTTGAAATCAGTATTTGATATCATTCAACTTTATCAACTTTTCTTTAAAAACTGGTGTTTTTCCTGATAAATTAAAAATAGCAAGAGTAGTTCCTATTTATTAAAATGGCGACGACTCTTTAACATCCAACTATAGGCCTACATCGATACTTTCTTGCTTTTCAAAGCTTCTCGAACGTGTTATGTACAATAGATTATCAACTATCTTGAAACAAATAATATTCTGTATAACAAACAATTTGGTTTTTGCAAGAGTCATTTAACATATCATGCAATAATTGAATTAGTCAATAAAATTTTGAATAGTTTCGAAAATAATGAATATACTCTAGCCTTGTTTATCAATTTAACCAAAGCATTCGATACAGTTGACCACGAGATCATCCTACACAAACTAGAGATATATGGAGTAACAAACAACAATCTAAAATGGTGCAGAAATTACTTAAATAACAGGAAACAAGGAGTGTCATTCACTGTTATATTAACTATTGCAATATCGTTTTGGCAAGTACATACTCTTCAGTACTAAAAAAAATATATGTAAAACAAAAGCAAGCGTGTCGGATTGTATGCAATGCTAACAGATATACCCATGCTAAGCCATTATTCAGTGAAATTGGAGCTCTAAATGTTTATGAACTGAACCTTCTCCAAAATGTATTATTTATGTTTCAATCGCAAAACAGTTTACTACCAATATACTTTGAAAATCAATTTTCCACTATTGATCACAAATATCCAACAAAGTACTCTTTTCAAAACTTTAACATTTTGAAGACTTTACTTAAAATAACTGACTTCTCTCGAGAAGTCAGTTATTTTATCTTATCTCTTATCTCGAGAACCGCGGCTATGAAATTCAATCCTTAAAAAAGAAATAAAAAACATGAAGTCATCAAATCTCTTTAAAGCAACTGTCAAACAGCACCTATTTAACTTAAGTGACGTCAACATACTATCCTACTTTTAGAGATCAAATTAATAGCAACTAAAACGAACTTATCCCTTTTGGATGACTAAAAACGATGATTATATCACAATACAAATAGTTTTTCTTTTCTATACCAATCTATCAGATCGTTACGTACAAGGCTTTGTTTTTTACGTACAAGGCTAAGTATTTGCTTTATTTCTATTTATGAATTTTTAATGTCACGTTAAGCTCACGTGAAACTTATTGCAAAGTTGCAAATGAAAGGGGCTTGATGATAAGACTGCAGTCTTCTACTTGCTCCTGTCATTATTTTAATTTTTATCTTATTTATAAATATATACATGAATTAAAGTTAATTGTATGTAAAACATATAGTGACGAAATATATATATATATATATATATATATATATATATATATATATATATATATATATATATATATATATATATATATATATATATATATATATATATATATATATATACATATATATATATATATATATATATATATATATATATATATATATATATATATATATATATATATATATATATATATATATATATATATATATATATATATTTAAAGCTGTTTAAACTGTTTTATGTTTATTTACTAAGTTTTGAAAGTATTAACGTTTTTTAAGTGCTTAGTAGAGTCTTTATTTTTGGCCTGCAGGAATCTATTATCCTTATTTTCAATTCTGTAGTCTCTTACTGTCTAAAGCAAGATTTTTATTATCTTAAATTAACAAACACTTAATCTCCTATTTTTAATCAAATATCTTACTTTTTTATCATTAAAAATGGACTTTGATCTTCTCGTTCTACTGTTAATTTATTAAAGCTAATAACTGATAGATTTTATCGTGCATTAGGTAGATGTGGAGAGCTTAAGGCTATTGCTCTTGACTAAAGCCTGCGATAAGGTTTGGCATGATGGTTTTCTCCAAAAGCTCTCTTCTTATGATGTATCAGGTAACATATTTAAGACTATTTAAGACCTTCTTTACCAATTGTAATATAAAAGTTTCCTCGATGGACAGCACTCTTCTTGGTTTTCGATTACTTGCTTTTAATTTAAATTAAAAAACGCCTATATTTCCTCACATCAAGACGGAATTGTTTGTTGATGATAATACCATTTATTATTGTCTAGATAAGAAGCCAACACTCTCTGATTGCTCGGAGGAAGCATTAAATCTTGAAAAGGATTTCACTACTTCTATAGTATGGGGCCCTCGGTGGCTGGTGAACTTTGACTCTAAGAAAACTCAATGATCTTTAGCTCATCGTTGTCGCAGCATATCTAAATCTTTCTATATTTACAAGCGGTAATGTACTTGGTGAGTCATCTACCCTTCGTCTTCTAGGATTAACTCTTACTTTCCGATCTTGCTTGGAGACCATACATATTATATGTAAATCAAACCGATTGCAAAATTAGCATATGCTAAGGTTGCATCTCTTTATAATGCTCGCCATTTTTTTACTCCGAATTCTATTCTTCATTTCTATAAATCTCAAATCCGAATTTTGTATAGAATACTGTTACCATATCTGGAGCGGATCATCGAAAGAAACCCTGTCACTTTTAGACAAGGTGCAAAACTATTGCGGTTTTGTCATATACATGAATCAAGCCAAAATATGAACTTACGTCATGGAAAGCTAAAACATGAACTTACGTCAAGGAAAATCATCCAAGATTTTCAGAAGCAAACAAGTTACAGCACTGGCTAGATTATGCAATAACCTTTCCTGTTAAGCGAACAATGACCAGTTAAGTTATAACTTGAAAGTTTCCGTTTGTAATAAAAGTAAAGTTCTAACATAAGTTCAAAGTAAACTTAAAGCAATTTCAAGATCAATACAAACAATTGCAGTTTTAGTATAAACATTTTAATGATATTTTATACGTTCATCTGTCGGCTCATTGCTTATATTTACAATGTTACAACATTTTACAACATGTGTCACATAAATCTTTTTTGAATTTTTTAAATTCTATATTGAACTTGTGATTTTTTATTCTTTTTTTTTTTTAATTTTATTGTTATTTAAGTGTCCCAAGAAGCTCCTGACAGTCTTGTCACAGAGCATCGCGAAAGTGCATTTAAGGAAAGTTTACGCCTCCTTCCTTACCGTGACGCAATTGTGATTGAAGATGTAACAATACATATATTCTTTTACTGGTACATAGTCCATTTTTATCACAATATATTTTAAAAAGATCTTACAGTTTACCTATATTGAGTGATCCTTCGATCTATTCTTTGTGTTTTTTTCCTGCAGTAAAAAGTCTTAATTTTCAGGAAAAGGTTTTATGTTATTATATGGTCTTGTTGTCTCAATATTTTTTAGAATCATGTGATAAACTTTTTTTCACATGGCATTCCAGTAGTTAAGCATTTATTAAATTTATGAAAGTAAAAAGTTATTTGGCTTCTAATATTCTATGTTGAAAGAAAGTAGGATTTACAAACACAATATTGTGTATTAGAAACAAAGCAATAATAATAAGACATTTTTCTTATCGAATTTTCACCAGCAGCTGCCAAAAAGCGGTTTCTCTCCAGATTTTTTGGTAATTTTTAAATAGCGCTCACTTATATTTGTAGAGCATTTAAATTTACAACTTCTGCAACCTTTTAGTGTTACAATAGAACTTTACCCGATAGACGTTGCATTTATCTTATATTTTATTTTTTAAGTTTCGTAGATACTCCGCCATGGGGTGACCTATCAAAAGGTGTAAAACCAAACGGCTCGAATGATTAAAATTATGCATAAAATTAGGAAATATCAAATAAAAAGAACAAATTATATATCTTTATAATGATTAATAGATA